TCTCATTTATTTCAAAGAAGCTTATTACTTCAGAAATTGTTTAGGACCACAGAGTCCCGCTGGAAACATTTCAAAACTAAACACGATACATAGAAGTCATTATTATTTATTTCACTAGGACTTATTTCACATATGGATTGGAACTGATGATGTACAATTGGTTTAAACGACAAATCCTTCTGCTAACTGAGGTATGGACAGGGTGTCTGCGAATTACACTTCCTAAGGCGGCCTCCATAATGCAAGGCCCAGTATCTTCCAATAAACAGGCACCAGTTAAACCACTCTTCTTTCCTCAGCCTCTGAGCCAACTAAAACTTACTGGGATCACTGCCAATAGTTTACACTCGGCACTTGGCTGCGACAAAAGAGGGCCCAACAACGATGCTACCATTTCATGGGGACCCAAAACTACCAGTGTGGCAGAAATGCTAAACTGGTGAGCAGTGTATTCTCCAAGCCACTATCTCATTCCCAAAGACATCTATGGACTCTTGAGTTTGGCGTTGTTGTTTTTTCCTCCCAATTGAGAGTACCAAGTTGCGGAGTGAGTGGGATGCTGTTACTTTTCTTTCCACTCGCTGACAATAAAACATTGAGACATATGGAAGCCATCGCTTTGAAGGCGTAACCATTTTAGTGCACTGCAGTAGAGAAACGTGCTTTTTAATAGGTAGTCTCAGCATTAACACGAGCCGAGCCTGCAATAAAGGCATGTACGAGCTGTTGCATTCTTTATACTGGGATAATGGGAGGGTAGCGAGGTTCAGCAGCTACAGACTTGGTGTTCATGGATGGCGTTCGTAGGAAGTTGGGTTTTGTGCAAAGAACAAAGGCTTGGGCAGAATTCAAGCAAAGGAGTTCGGAATAGAAGATCCAGTCGGGCAGTTCCTCTGGGGCTGAGAAGTTCGGAAAGCAGAAGGGATCCTCTCTCGCTCTCGTTCTCCACCCCCCTCTCGTTTCCCCCTCCCCCCTCCCCACCCTAGAGCTACACGCCCCCCTCCACCTACCTAGACAGACATAGGCAGACAGACGTAGGTAGATGTATGTATCTGATTGTATAATGGGACATTTTCTGTCTCCATCCCAACGTTATCTTTTAAGAAGTTTGGTTCCATCTCTTTAGAAACGGTCCCAGCTAACGGGGCAGAGGGAGTTTGACAGAGGGGAGAACAAATCGCTGACAAAGAACCTTTTTACGTTTCATCAGCGTTGTTAAGGCGACGAGGAGGAATTTCTCAGATAATAACTCCCACTTCAAAGATTTTTCAGCTCAATAGAAATTGGACCATCCTTTTTTATTCAGCCACAAGGGCTAGCACTAAAGACGACTCGACTGTTTGAATTTTTTTTTTTTTGTTCGGCGTGTTTATTTTTCCCCTATTCACTGGGGTACTTGGATAAAATAAACAAGAAGACAATTACTGGAACATGGACTTCTAACTTTCCCGGGACCATGGCCCATCGCCCGTGGCCTCAGACTTGGGAGTGTCAAGTTCTGTAGCCCTGGAAGGCATTAAACCCTAATTTCTTGGGACATGGTTTTTGCCACACACCTAGGATCTAGTCCTTGTTTGTTTCCGTGAAAGAGTCAAGAAATTCAGAAGATTCCTCAGTCTTTGTTCTGGAAATGGCATCCCTTTCTAGTTCAGTCTCTATCTTCAGCAGTGTGTGTGTGTGGATGTGACTGTGTGTGTTTACAAAGAAGGAAATAGTGTCAAAAAGCAACTTAAAGCCGCAGCATTCAGGAAGGAGCTAGACCCTAAGGAGGATGGAGTCAGACACAGAAATATCGAAATGTTACTTGCAAAGCAAAGATCAGCAAATGTATACATTTATGAATAAGAATATTGACACCAGCCACTGTTTGGACCGTACTTGTAGGATGTCTTAGGGTTAAGGCTTGGGGCGTGGAGACAAGAGTTTTGTGAGCTCACTAGTAAACAAAACTGGTCCACTACTGACTTGCTCCTGAGCAGTCCTATTCTAGCCAGGTGGGCTGCTTTGAACAAAAGTGGGTCCTCTACTATTGAGTCCCAGCCCCAGATTTCCATGGTGCAAAATTTCACTCGGCACTGGTAGCTCTTATAAAACCGCCTCTCCCCCCCCCGCCCGCCCCTACTTCTGTTTCTTAATCGCAGAGATCCAAGATGCTGCAACAAAAGCCCTCCTTAGAGAGCAAGCCAGCAAAGCAAGCCAAAGGGGACGAGATGGAGGAAGTCCATCTCTGAGGAAGAGCAGATTGAATGTATTAAGCTAGCATGAAACCAAAGGTCAGTGCAAATGTATCTTAATAGACTGTCTCGAATGGAGTGTGCCTCCTTTTCAAGGGCGCTTGCTATTGCTCTGCTCATTACCATAGCGATCCTAACGTGGCATGTTGATGCACCATAAAGCTCACACTTTCAACCCCCACCCTCCAACCAAAAAAATAAAATAAAAATCAGAGCCTTTGAACAAGGCCGGGCTTGATTAGACCTTTCTCCTTTTCTTTTCCCTCCTTCAAACCCATTTCCTCGCCTTTAGAAAAGTCGCCATCAAATCCCAAAGGCCGTCTCTGATCATGGCCCAGAAGGAGAGAAACAAAAGTGAACTGGCGGACGGCGATTCAGGCGGCCCCCTTTTTCTTCCTGACATTCTTATCCATTCTGATTATGGGCTGGAACAAGGACCCCCATTCGCGTGGGGGTTTTCTTGCCCCGGAAATTCGGAGGGAAAATATGCATACTCCACGTCCATCACGAACACAACATACAAATGTGTGTGTGTGTGTGTGATGTGGTTTTGGCACTGTTGGGGTGTTTTCTGTTTTATATATATATACATCGGTGAGGATGGGAGAAAGAAACTGAGCCGCGAGGGGATGGGGAGAAAGAGAGAGAATCTGTTAGACCTAAATATTATGTCCTTCATGAAAAGACTGGACGGGCTCCAGACTTCGCTTTTCACTCTTTTTAAGTATGACTTGCCTATTGCTATAGAAATCTTAACTCACCATGAAGATTCACCGTTGCGAAGAAATACTTTCATTGTGAGAGACTGCTTTGATGTCTAAGGCATAAGATGCGGGGCTTTTCAGCTGCCTCTGTCTAGATTACCTTGAGAGCAACGGGATAGACATCTGTAACAAGCAAATGAAAAATTAAAGGTGATTAGCCTACACATCCAAAAACCGCTTCTGCAAAGAAAGAAATCAAGAAGAAAAGGGAGAGGGAGGAGGAGGGCCGAGGGACGGAGCCGGGAGGGGGCAACCCAACTCCAGACAAGGTGGAAGCATCTTTTCGCACATGGCCTCCATCCATCCATCTCTACCTTCTCATTTCCACGACGGCTCCACTAGATCAGAGGGAGTAAACGAGCAGCAGCAGTAATGGCAACGAATATCTTGTTTTAATTTTTATCCTGAGAATCTGGACGGGATGGTTATTTCTTTGTTTCCATTTAACTCGGCGATCTATTAAGGATCTCTCGCTGAGGCAGTGAGAAGGAATGGGGAACCAAGTCATGCACAGTGTTCAAAAGGTAGATAGGTGATAGATGGATTGATACCCAGATAGGTAGACTTTCTTCTATTTTTTATTTATTTTTTATTTAATGTGAATGCCTGAATTACACCAACCGCCCCATCTTCAGATGTAAGTACCACGGTGTTCACACTTCACTGGGATGTCCCAATGAACTCAGTGGAACTTACTTCCGAGTAAATAAGCACATGGTCCTGCTGCACAAGGAAGATAGAGAGAAAGAAAGAGTTCAGAAATGTGGGAAAGTTAAGGAAGGTAGGGGAGGATATATTGTTTTGATATTATCCCTCCTCACTCACGCTCAGAGCACATTCCCTTTGGAGCCACATTCCCCTGTGTGTCCATTCTAGGCAACAGGAAAATGTTGTACTTGTCTGCTCTAGTAATAATACATCCCACAAGAAATAACAAATTTCTGTTGGTGGTGGTGTGTGCATGGCTAACCCAAAGACTGGGCTGGACGTTTTGCTTCACTCTCCTTCACTGAACTGAAGGAAATGGCTTTGTAGAAGTGTTTTGGCTAAGATCTTAGAGCGCCTACAGACAAATGGGCCTTTCCATAGTTTAAAAATCGATTAGAATGAACCACGCCCCCTCCCTCATTCCTAAATATACTGCCTGTAAATAAGTTCCATTGAAGTATATGGGTCTTACTACAAAGTGATGCGTTTAGGAGCTACAATCAGTAAATGAAATCCATATAATAATATTTCCACAAGCATCCCCCCCCCCCCCCGGTCTGGGGAATTCGCTAGAGACAAGGACTCACATAGGGCTGATAAGAATCATATAGCTTTAGAGACCCCGACATATGTTCAAGATTTTAAAACCATTTTATTTTTACCTTTACAAAAAATAATAATTAATATTTCGAACTGCTATTTTACATAACTACTGTTGTGCATTTGAAAACCAGACCACCACTGGGTTTACACCACGGGTTCAGAAAAAATCGACACGTCGTGAATCCTTTTGGACAATCCAAGCAACTCAACACAATTACGTCACTCATAACAACTCCCCCCCCTTCTCTCCAATTAACATGGATCTCACCTTCCATCCACTAAGGAATCACAAGAACTCACAATTCAACAGAAACAATGCGAGGGAGGGGGAAGAGAAAAGGAGAATATGTTTATGCATTTAAATCCATTACTAGTGTAAATTAAAATGTACCATAAATCATTAAACCACCCTTGGGTCTGTTTTATTAGTGACAAGTGGGAAGAATATACTGGTGAAAAAGGGGCAGTAAAGAGATTTCCCCCCCGAAAAAAACGTCAACTGAACTGGTAAATTAATCAAAGTATTTAATTGATCGATTTGTTGTACAGTTCGGTAACAAATAATATATTTATAGATACTGATGTTCCTTTTTGGGGAAAAAAGCACACGCACACAGCCCCCCACCCCCGCCAAGAAACCCAATTAAAATCCAGACACTGGGCTAATAAAACTGTCCAAGAAAAAACACCATCACAAGATACCAGCACCGACGATCGCAGCTGTACAGCTAGAAATCCGTATTAAAACACTTTGGTTCATTGATACAAAAGGATGTTTCCATTCAAATCGAGGCCATTGTAAACGTATGGGAAGGAGTTGGTCCGCGGAGTCTGCCCTGGGAGGGTGTAAAATAAAAAGAAGAGCTCATGGAAAGAGGTGCGGGGAGGGGGAGGTGGCGGGAGGGGGGGTCTGCTGTCCTCTGTGCCATAATAAATACAAAACGGGGGTGGGGGAGAGAGGGAGGAGGTTTGTCCACCCCCCCCCAATGTATCTTCTCTCCGATAGCCTGTGCAGCATTTCTGATCGAAGGTGACTGACTGGGGGAAGAGGGAAGAGGCTGGGGAGGGGGGGAGGGGGGTTGCTCCCCAGGCCTGGGATCGATTTCCGCCCCTCCCCCAAGAACCGGGCCTTGCCGACCCGCCGTTCGTCCAGTGTGAGCCAAGGATCCACAGCACCCCGAAAAGAACAATGCAGTCTCGCCGCCGCCGGCGGGCCATCCTACCGTATTGACTTTAATAAGTGGGCCGGGGCTCGCAGTTCGTGTAAGCGGCCTCTCCCGGGTGAGGTGACGGAGAGTTACTGGGTGGAGTCGGGATGCCGCTGGCCCCTGAGCTCTGACACACGTACCATTCGCTCAGGTTGGCTGCCGCCTGGGTGGAGGAAGCCGCTGCGGGAGGCGGTGGCGGTGGCGGTGGCGGCGGCGGCTGAGGGGGCTCCCGGCCGCAGTCCGACGACGGCGACACCAGCGACGGGGTGGACGACTCGTAGCCCGAGCTGGGAGGTGGGGACTTGCAGTGGACTTTCATGTGCTTCCGCAAGGAGCTGGGGTGCGTGTAGGACTTGTCACAGCCTCGCACTTTGCAGTTGTAGGGCTTGTCGCTCGTGTGCACGTGGGAATGCTTCTTCCTGTCGCTGCTGTTGGCGAAGCGGCGCTCGCAGCCCTCGAACTCGCATTTGAAGGGTTTCTCGCCTGCAAGGAAAAGAGGGAATCCAGGGAGACTTTGCGTAAAGGACCAGGGTGGGGAAAGGTGCGGGTGTGCGTGTTTTATTGGGATGGCGGGGTGGCGTGTCTGCAGGTCACAGGTTATTGAGCGATAAGCTCTGTGTCGCCCTCGCCCCACCTTGCTTTCCCAGCAGTGGCCGTGGAGCCAAACCCAGCAGAAGCGCCTAGCAGCACTGTATGTGAACAGGATTACAAGGGTGTGAGGAGAGATCTCTAAAGCTGTGGGGTCTTCTGAAATGACAAAGGGGGGAAGCTTCGTCTGTGAGTTTGTGTGTTCATCCCTATCAATGCTTGCCTTCCAGAGGAAGGGTGGAAATGTTCCAGGCCTTGGATGAAGGGCCTGAGGCGACGAGGTGGGACAACGCTTTCTCTTCCCTAGGCTCCTTGCCCATCTCGCTCGCTCCTCTTTTCCGTACCGTGTCCCTATGGACACATATTTCCCATCTCACAAATGCCCCTCCAAGCTCTCTCACCTGACAACCCCTTTACTTCAGAGATGGCTACATAACCTAGGTTAGGATCTGAAACCCCAGAACCTACGGATTCGTGGCCTTGTGGTGCATAGCTTCTTACTAGTCTCGGGCACTCCCACATAAACAACTCCACATGCTGCAAGGCGCCTTCTTCTTGCACACACACAGAGTCGCACAAGAGCTCACATTTGACCTTGCCAATAGGCTTTGGAGGAAAGTGGGATTGAAAAGTAGGCTTTGGAGGAAACGATGAGCAAATGTCAGCAGCCAGCTCATTAAAACCATCGTTTAGATATACCACGGTTGAACCAGTGTTGCATAGGTTTAGAAATCTATCTATCATCTATCTATCTATCTATCTATCTATCTATCTATCTATATCTATCATCTCTTTCACCTCTCTCAAATTCATATGGAAATAACTAAATTAATACATAACTTAACCTAAAGGCAGTTCTGGTAGTTTCTGGAGAATAATCTACGATAGAGTATCTTTCCGCTACATATCCTTAGTATAGATTAATAATCTAGAAGGATCTCAGTAGCATTCTGCTGGGAAATCCAACGCCTTACTGAGTAGGCCAAGATTTCATTTCGCTATCAAGGAAAATCTGCAGAAACTAACAGACAGGGACATATTTAGCAGCGGAGAGAAAGAAAAACAACGACGCAGTCCATAGTGCATTGTCCATGGGAGAACTCATTGATCTGGCTAGATGATATGCATTGGAAACATATTAAACACCATATGCGAGATGAGATATTGGAAAGGTGAGGAGGGGTGAGAGACGGAAGGAAGCCAGATTCCCCAGGAAATCTACTGGAGGTTGTCTGTACACCAAATGCTGCATGGGCGATTTTTCACCGATAAAGGAAAACACGTTGAAGCCACGTGCTTTGATGTCTCTACGGGGCACGGATGCCTTATTCTGAAAAACCAACAGACAGAGACGCTTGCGTACGAAAGTCGGGCAAAAATGATATAACGCATATTTGACAGGGATGGGAAATGAAGGTCAGGATACTATGTGTTTCTTAGAGGCAAATGTTGCCAAAATAGCAGGGTAAGTGCATATGTGTGTTAGTGTGTGTTTGTTTGTGTAGCATTTTTAAAACATGAGTTCCTTAATGAGGCCATGTTGTATATTCAGACTTCAGCACAAAACATTTTTTTTTTAATTAAAAAAAGCTGTGTCTACTGAATATGCTAAGGCTAAAGCGTTCTTTAAGAAATGTTGGTGGGGAGCTAAGCAACTGCTACTCCCCCCCTACAAAAGCATTCTCTGTCGGTGTAATGATTCAGGGAAATCCGCCGTGCTGGACGGCTAGTTATTGCAAGGAGTAAAATATGGTTCCACATTTTAAAGAATATCGGTGGCAAATACCAATATTGGTCTCGGGCCTGCGAGAAAACGACGTTTTTAGCAGGCTAGGCATGGCAAGTGAGGCTCCGTGTGTACCTGCATCGAAAGGTATTTACTCATTTTGCTTTGTTTTGGCGGGGAGAGAAAAGAAAAGGAAGGTCATCTGTATATTTTGACGGCTCTTCAAGTATTTTAATTATAGTTCCTTGTAAAGAAACAGTTTGACCTTCCGCTACTCAGCTGAAATAACAAATCACGAGGATTGGTGTAGCACAGGCAAGCAGTAAGTTAGGAGGCCCTGGGGAGAGGCCCCGTCATAAACCCAGCGATCGGGCGGAGTGAGTTACATCGTGGTATAAGACCGGTCTTGTTTCTCGCGAGCAGCAACAAAAAAATAAATAAAAATGGCCAGCTTCTTTTACGCCCCCACCTTCCACACCTCGGCACCTTGGCAGGGGTAAATAAAGGCCCCGGCCACAATATATGATTGCAGAAAGGGGCTCTTTCTTGTTGGCTGCAGCGCATTATCTGTGCATGGTTTCAGGCCTAGGGTTAATGCTAGAGTTCCCTGTTAAAAGGATAGGATTCCCAGCGCGTAAACATGTATCGGTCAAAAGGAAATGAGTTTGAATGTTTGTCTCTGACCCGCCGCACTTTTGAAAGTGTGTGTTTGGGGGTGGAGAGATGGGGGGGGGGGGAGAGGAAGAGAGGAAGCGAGGACTGAGGACGAATGGGGGCAAGGGCGCGCGCGCGCACACACTGCAGCGAGTCGACACCGCCATTTTCTACCCACACTTGTAGCTCTCACAGGACTCGCTGTGGAGAGCAATACGTACAGCTTGGAGATTTTAGCATAATCCTCCCAACTCTGGGACTGGATTAAAGTATTTGCAAAATTCTCGAGGGGGAGGGGAGGAGGGATATTGAGCTTGCCAGCGCCAGCACTATAAATTACAAGTTAAAACATACCTCTCTTACTGCGGCCTAAACACCACCTTGGTCACAATTGTCCCTTGGCCAGTTCTGATGGTAAGGAAGTGATTTTTGCTTTCCTTCTTTTGATACCTGTGCTACGTTATTGTGAATTAAGTTCGTTCTCCCTCCCTCTCTCTCTCTCTCTCTCTCTCTCTCTCATCTCCAGAAACCCATTCCTGTCTGCCCAGGCTCAGGGAAACGCAACGTCATTAATATTTGAGAAGGCAATTATTTTCTCGTTTAAATCTAGAACTGTCTTCATGAATAATTTGCAGGAAGTTCTATTGCCATTTCAGAAACATTTGGGTTTGAGAATTTATGGCGGGGTGGGTCAATCGAAAACGCTGCATTGTAATAAGGCCTAAGGATTCCACCTCCACTTCTCCCTCTCTCCACCCCAAGCCTAGCCCACCACCACTGCAAAAATAAATTAATTAAGCAGGGAAGTTCAAGCGAAACGACTACATAATGTAGTACATTTTGAATGCTGAACTCCAAGCCCGCACCCTTCCCAGGCACTCAACTGGTTGCACTGATGTAGGTCAAATTTACCAAGAATCCGACCATTTTCTGCTTCATAGACTTCAAAGGAGAAGGCGGCTAAAGGGCAGTAAAAGTTTGTTTACTTAAGAAAAACACTGTAATTAAGGGATGAACTGTGCTCTTCAGTGCTTTCCTACCTAACACGAAGATGCCTTGGTGTCATTCGCATTATTAATATTTTAAATAAAATAAGTAACAAAATATTCTCCATCAAATGCACAGCTTTATTTTAAACGTAGTTTTTGGAGGGGGGGAGGGGACGAACTTAACCATACTACAGTAAAGGCTACGACATTTTAGAACTGCAGAAAGAGAGAGAGAGAGTCGTTGGGTTGTAAGGATATCTTACAATAGGATTATGTCGTTTTCCTGGGAGTTTATAAGGCTGTGGAGTGTGTGTGCAAAAAAACTGCACAGTGGAACGGATTTAATTTTCCAAAAGGGCTTATTTATTATCTTCTGGTGTGTGTGTGAGAGAGAAAGAGAGTCAGATAGGAAAGAGTGGAGTGGAGAAGGCAATAAAAAGCTAAGAAGACCGGCTGCTAAACTAACTCTGTACAACTTCACAGGCTGAATTTGGAAGTCTGAAAACTTTATACCGCCAGTTCCATTCATTCACCACAGATGCTTCTGTGGATTCCGAGGTCAAAGAGGGTGTTGGCAAGGTCTTCCCCTTCAAATAACTTTCCTTTCTGTGTTAACTAGAAATTGTTCCTATTTATGACAAAAATTTCCTTCATAATTCTGGCCAATGAACGTTCAAAAGGAACAGGCTAGGAAGACAAAATTAACTCCAAGCACACACCACTACTCCCCTCTTTCCTTCCCAGGTTCCAAAAGAGCACCTTCCCATATTTCAATCTCCGTAGCAGTTTAAGAAGGAAAAGGCTCTTACGAAGACTTGGGATGAAACATCGCAGGGTTCCTCGTACAAAACAAAAAGAGGGGACCTTGCAGCTGTGCTTTTCTCACAAGGAAGGCGGCAGAAGCAGCATCCCAGCAGCATCACTCAAAACTGCCTAGACAAGTTGCAACTTCCATTGTTCGCTCCTAATTTGCGAGCTTGCATCAAGATTGGATGCTTTTCCGTCTCTATAGGGCTTTTTAACTCTCCCCTCTCCAGGAAATCCCGATCTAAATCATGGAAGACCCTTCTTGCATACGCATATACACATACACGTCAGCATTATGCATCCACACACGCCTCAATTCTTCAAACGAAAGACAACAATCAACAAACTATTGATTCGGTCTTCATTGGCTAGTATTAATTCTATGTAGAATTATAGCGGGCGGGGGTGGGGTGGGGAGATCGCACATGCAGCAGATAGTTGAACAAAACACGAATGAAGAAAGACCTTTCCATACTGACCTGTGTGCGTCCTTTTGTGGATTTTAAGATTTTCCGAGCGAGCGAAGACTTTCCCGCATCCCGGGAAAGGACAAGGGAAAGGTTTCTCCCCCGTGTGGACTCGGATGTGGTTGACCAGTTTGTATTTGGCCTTGAAAGGCTTCCCTTCTCTGGGACACTCTTCCCAGAAGCAAATGTGGTTGGACTGCTCCGGCCCTCCAACGTGCTCCACGGTGACGTGAGTCACCAGCTCGTGCATGGTGCTGAAAGTTTTCGAGCATAATTTTTTGGGAGTCTGGTCCAGTTCGATCCACTTGCAGATGAGCTCCTGCTTGATGGGCTGCCTCATGTAGCGGAAGAAAGCCCCAGGGCCGTGGTGTGGAGCTAAATTCACGTTCAGGTTCATGCCACCGTAGCCGTGGAAGGAGGAAGCAGCAAAAGGATCTGTCCTGGAGACTGGTACTGGCGTGAAAGGTTCAGACCTGGCATACATTTCTCCAGGTAGCCCCAGCCTTATCTGTCCGTTTAGATGGCCACCTGGAGCTGCATGGGAAGGTTGCTCATGGTGGAGTCCAGTAAAAAGCGAGGGAGTTCCGGCTTCTGAGTGGTGGTGGTGGAGGTGGTGGTGGTGGTGGTGAGCATGGTGTCCGGGGTAGCTACCTGTTGTTGAGACAAACATTCCATGGTGAGAACCTGTAGCAGCAGAGTGTTGATAAGGGAGCCCTGGCATGGCTGGGGCTGTCAGATCTCTGCGCAGGAAGAATTCCCTACCTGATGAAAGAGCATGACTTGGGTGAGGGACTGCGTAAGGGACTGTTGTTGACTGCGCCGGGCCAAATGCTCCTGCTGGACTGGGTACCACCTCGGCTTGGCCTGTCACAGGATGGTGGGGATGAGGCTGAGGGGCAGGGCTGAGCTTAAGGGCCGCTGAGTGATGAGGAGGATGAGAGTGGTGGCGGTGGTGATGATGATGATGGAGAGGATGGTGGTGGTGCCCCATGTGTTCTGACCGGAATGGACTCAGCCCGAGGCGGCTTTCTGCAGCGTACTCCCCAGGGTGCGTGGGAACCATGGAGTGGGGATGCCCGGCGAAGCCTGTCATGCTCTGAGGGGAGTGGTGATGGTGGCGGTGATGACGATGACGAAGAGCCCCTGCCAAGCCTAGTAATTTCAGCGCTGTGTTCCGTTTGGAGAGTGAAGCAGAGTCCATTACTGGGCTCCCCCAAAGCCTCCAAGCTCTCCTGGTTCTACTACAATTCTAAAAAGTCACCTGACGCCGAGGAAGGGGGAGCGAGGGAGAAAGAGGAAGAGGGAAAGAGCGGTGGAAAAACTTTTTTGAAAGTCCCCCCCCACACCCGCAAAGAAAAAAGGTTTTTCCCCTCCCTCTCTCTTGGTCTGGACTATTTGGCTTTGTTTTGTTTTTGCTCCCCGCTTCCCCCCCTTCCCCTTTCTTTTCTCCCCCTCCTCTTCCATTATTTTGTGTGTGTGTGTGTGTGTGTGTTTTTCCTCCTTCCTTTTTTTTTTTTTAATGCCTACGTGGAATCCCATACGCTTTGAGAAGCAGCAGCAGGACGCTGGGAGGCTACTGAATAGCGCTTCACAGACTAGGCTCCAACCCAGAGAGCTAAACAATCAGGGCGGTCGCTGATTGGCCGAAGCTGCCTGACCGAAGTCAGCGCTGACAGGTCCCCGCTGAAGTCTGAAAAGATTTAGGAAGGGGTAAAGGGGCGGGGAGGGAGGAAGAGGACTCGGGAAGCAGTGCGCCTGCGCGGCGTTTGTGGCTAATCCCCCCCTCCAAAAGCTCCTTCCCTTTCTCCTCCTCCTCTTCCCCCTTTGCCCCCCTCCCTCTCTAGCCCTAACCAGTGCGCCGAGCTTGTCCGGTGTTTGCATTTACTCCCCGCATTTTGTTTTTATCTGCGTTTAACTGATTATGGGCCGCTGGAACCGTCTTCCCCAGACGAAACGAGGGGTCCTCCGAGTCGTTTACGCGCTAATGAGCAGTGGTTGCCAAAGGAGGAACAAGGCCTTGAGCAAGCGGCGGCAGCAGCTTCTGGGAGCGCCTGGGAGGCGAGGCTGGCCGGCGGGTGGCTGTTGCTTTCTCCCCACCCCTTCTAAAGACGCTTTGGTTGTCCCCGATCATCTGCTTAGAAGAGCCAGGCGCTTGGAGGTATCCTGAGTGATCTCCTGACTCCTGCATGGCTTGGATCGTGGCTCAAGCCCCTTCTGCTTTCTGGTCTCCTGCTAGCCTCCAACCATTTACTTTTACACACACACACACACACACACACACACACACACACGTTCTTCTTCCACACCCAGCCCTGTCTCTCTTTCTCACTTAGCCTCGTAATGAGCAGACGATTTAATGGAGAGCTCAGATCGGTGTCTGCTTCGGGGCGGACTGCCTGATTGGCCACCGAGCAGCTCATTGTGGACTAACCAAAGTGCAATTCTCAACTCCCTTCCAGTTTCCTTCCTGCAAGAGCAACAACAAAGATGGAGAAGGGGCGGGAGGGGAGGAAGGTAGCACACATCACACAGGGACTTTCACAAAACTTCCGCTCTCGAGGGACAGGGGAGCGGGGGGGGGGGGGCGAAATACGGCTAGGCCAAGCCGCTGCAGAAATCAGCAGGGAGGGAGGTAGAGAGGAGAGAGACTGCCCGGAGAAGGTCTGCCGAGACGTAGCAAGCTCTCCTCCGTCCCCTTTCCCTGCCCTCACAGTCGCCCAGATTATGAATGAATCCAAAAGACAGGAGACGCGCGGGGCTTTCTGAGACCGCCTCATAAATTCCTTTGCCTACGACCCACCATTGTAGGAAGTAGAGAAGCGCGCAGGTTTGTTACCAAGCCTATTTTGGGCCAGGAGCAAAAGTCTAGATTATTTTCTTTAAAGCAATACAGCGATGGTGGTGGACCCCAAACCCCGGACCAGGCAAGATGCTTTCGAGGGATCCAGTCCTACACACACACTACCTCCACCCTCGCTTCCTAACCTCCAGCCCAACCGCGCCATCAATTTGACTGCTGATTATTTATAGCACAGACAAATCTCCGGGACTCCCGTCCCCGACAGAAATGGGCACAATGTGGAAGAGACAGGCTTTGCATACAGAAGTCGTCCTGGGAAGCGGAGCTGGGCAGCTAGGTATTTAGATTTCTGACACTTGTTGGCGGCCCAGAGAACCAGGCCTTTAAAACAACAACAACAACAACAAAGGCTAAAGGTCTGCCACATCTTTCATTTCCCACGATTACATGATATTTATGCCCCCCCCTTTAAAAGTAATACAAAAAAGTAATACCTAATACCTGCAATTAACCGGCGCATATAACCCAATCCAAATGTTGCAAATCATTTCAGAAGGCTTATGCAACTAATAAGTCTCTGACCATCTGAAGCAGCCCTGGATGCGTGTGAAACATCGTGTTGAATCCCTTTCCCTGTCAAACGCAATCGCCCACATTCATTTATAAGGAGCAATTAAAAGATCAAGTCAATTTAAAAAGCAACCTGTAGATTAATAGATAAATCTATCGGACGTTATGATGCTCACATTTGCTCACTGTCAAAAGGAAAATAAACCGATTGCAAGTGTACTGTATCCGTGATGAAAATAAAAGTATGGGGTTTATTATTTTCACCCCCACAAAAAAAAAAGGCATTGAGAGCCCTTCCAATGAATGCTGGAACCCGATATTACTGAATTCAGGTAATTCTGTTCTCCTCCATTTAGTGGGATAATATCAAAATTCGGCCTTGAACTCTGGACCTAAACTCCTAAACGTAAAAGTTACTTTAAGTATACCCACTTTCTGCAGAAGGGCAGCTTTCAATGTTACTTAAAATCCAGTAAGAAACACGGCAATTTTGAGAATGTTTCCCCCCACTGAACAAGCAGCATTTTTTACTTTCAAATGACATCCTGCGAAAAGAGCCCTTTATTTTTATTTTATTTTTAAAAACTGAACCATTTGGGCAAAAGTAAAATGCAAAATCGACACGTACTTTTAAAAATAATATTCTTTCTCGCTTTCTGTCCCGTGTTAATAGCTGCACAAGTGATGTCCTGAAACCGAAAGCCGCTCTTAAGTTACTTGTGGTAATGCCCTGAGTATTAGTGAGGTCAGTGTTATTAAAGATGCAATCACAACACTCACTTGAGAGTAATCCCAACTGAATTCAGTGGAAGTTCCGAGGAAACATGCATAGGATGGACTTTAACTCATTTCAGATGCAAGACTAGGTGGTGAATTAAAAGTGTCCCCCAACTCAAAGGAAGTCACATATTAAAGGACAATAACATCATTTCTCGGGATACAGAACTTCAGTTTCAAGAGTAAATATTACTTTCTCTCATCATCGCAAAATTTACATTCTGTCATACAGTAAATAAACTATCTGAAGCCGCACTGAACACTTACAGCTTTTCCACCACTATCCCCTCTCCCCCCCAAAATATTTGAACTTTTTGTTTTTATTTTTTAAAAGCAGCGTTTAGCTATAATGTTGAAACAGTTGCCAGTCACTGCATTTTAGAAAAATCACCCCGGAGACAGACCTTAGCAAACATCAAAACAATTTCTTGGGATATTCTAAAGTTGCTAGCTAAATGTTGTTTTTGTATGCTTGGGAACAACAATTCCCGACTCAGGCAATTGCCAATCAAATTTACGTAAAGCAGAAAAATAGGAGCCTGCCTCCTATAAAATATTTTTGAATTGCTAAATCGTGGAATATTGAGTTCAAGATGTACGACATGCATAAATAATTATCTAAGAAGCATCTCATTACACTTTATACCATAGCGGGAGTTATATTCTTGTTTTTGACCATTTTTGTGCAGATCACAATACTGAGGATAAAATAAAAGGCAGCTAAATCGGTATTTATTATTGTATGAATGTAACGCGCGCGCACACATTGATGCCCCGAGGACCTGAAAAGTTACACACGCTGTAATTAACTAGCTCTCCTTACGTAACATGTTTATGTAGACAACTTAAACCCCCCAGTAGTTCAAGACGACCTTCCCTTGCCAGTTTCTTCGCCCTAAGCCAAAAACATTTCGTCTTTTCCCTTCCTCATCCCTGACCATCTCCGAAGGAGATCACAGAAAGAAAGAAACGTTATCGGAAGCAGGACTCTGGAAGGCTGTTACTTACAAAGGTACTGAGAGTGTGACTTCCAAATAAAGCTGTTTTCCTCATCCCTCCTTACAACCACTTCACCTCTACACTCTTGACATCCTTCAGTCCTGACAGTCCTCAGTCAAGGGAGAAAACATCTGGAACAGTTTATCAATATATATATGTTACTATCGGTTGGCTTAGGCCATTCTAAAATATTGGCATGGCTTCTTGTCAAACGCTAATGGCTTTATCCGCTCTTACTTAAAACCCTGAGGTTCCTCACAGGGGTTTCCCCCCCTTGTTCCCCCCTCTGCTTGCATGAGTCCAATGGAAAAGAAATGGCCCATGGTGTCTCTCTCATTATATTAGGTGAAGTTAGTGCTCTCACTCCTAGCATTTGTTGTGTACCTTGGGAGACATATCTCTGTGCGTGTGTGTGTGTGAGTGTGTGCGCGCGCCCGCGCATAAAGGAGACAGAGCAGACAAGTGAGGGAGGGTGGTGATGCAGATGGAGCTGTACACATGACTAGAAGGCGGAGGAAACAGAACGAGGAGGGCCTGAACAAAGTTGCAGAGTTATCCAGGAGACTTGCATCTGC